TGTAACACACACATACATACATACATACATACATGTACACGCCAGCCCCGGGCTGAACCATCCCTGTAACACATCCCATACATACATACATACATACATACAAGGCGTGTACATGTAGCGGATGGTTCAGCCCGGGTGGGTGTGTTACATATGTATGTATGTACATACATGTACACGCCTGAACCAGGCTGAACCATCCCTGTAACACACCCATACATACATACATACATACATGTACACGCCTGCCCCGGGCTGAACCATCCCTGTAACTCACACAAATACATGTACACATACATGTACATGCCTGTCCCAGGCTGAACCATCCCTGTATCACACCCATACACACATACACACATGTTCACGCCTGCCCCAGGCTGAACTATCCCTGTAACACACACACACACATACATACATACATGTACACGCCTGCCCCGAGCTGAACCATCCCTGTAACACACACATACATGTACACATACATGTACATGCCTGCCCNAACCATCCCTGTAACGCACACATACATACATACATGTACACGCCTGCCCCGGGCTGAACCATCCCTGTAACACACACATACATACATACATACATACATGTACACGCCTGCCCCGGGCTGAACCATCCCTGTAACACACACATACATACATACATACATACATGTACACGCCTGCCCCGGGCTGAACCATCCCTGTAACTCACACACATACATGTACACATACATGTACATGCCTGTCCCAGGCTGAACCATCCCTGTATCACACCCATACACACATACACACATGTTCACGCCTGCCCCAGGCTGAACTATCCCTGTAACACACACACACATACATACATGTACACGCCTGCCGGGATGGTTCAGCCCGGGGCAGGCGTTGTAACACACACATACATACACACATACATACATGTACACGCCTGCCCCGGGCTGAACCATTCCTGTAACACACACACACATACATACATACATACATACATACATACATACATGTATAAGCCCGCGCCGGGCTGAACCATCCCTGTAACCAGGGGCGTAAATCCGTACCGAGGAGTGGGGGGGGGATGATCGGCGATAGCCGGGGGCGAAATTTACCTTGGCTGCCGCAGGCAGACCCGCGTGCCGTAGGCATGCCAGTGCTAGGGGGGTCTGGGGGCATGGCCCCCCAGAAAATTTTGAAATATTTAAGCCCTTTTCCTGCAATCTGAGGCATACTGTGGACCATATTCTCATGTCTGATGACACTATCTCAACCCTACAAGTTAGGATTCAAAACACTTTTCATGACTTTTCAGAGAGCGTACACAGTTAGGTTACTATAGTAATAATACATGTATTAAAACACAGGTAATAATTGCAATTTCTCACAATTTCACGCGTTTTTGTATGTTTGCAACCATACTTTTTGGCTATTCTTTTTTTTTCTCTTTTTTTAAATCTCAGGGGGGATATTTGTACAGGCCATCCCTCCCTCCTTCAAGAGCGGGGGGGATGCATCCCCCCCGGGATTTCTGCCCCTGCCTGTAACACACACACATACATACATACATGTACGCGCCTGCCCCGGGCTGAACAATCCCTGTAATACATGCACACACACACACGCACGCACGCACGCTCGCATGCACGCACGCACGCACGCACGCACACACACACACACACGTACACGTCTGCCCTGGCAGTACAAACAACAACCCCGCAAACACAACACCTAGTAAGGCAGACAGCACCTGAAAAGGCAGATCATAACCCAAAATAGACCTCAATAGAAATCTGAGGAGACGAGTGGCAGACATTTGAGAGGAGAAAGTGGATGACATCCGAGAAGTCTATGAAGTCAAAACTTTTGCACAACACGAAAGCTATGACATTTTTTCGATGCATGACGTCGTAATTACTTGCATTTCTGACGACAGGTGCCACTGATATCCAAGAAGGAAAAAAGAACAAGAGAGCATCTTACGAGGCTGCAGAAGGTGTCGTTCAGTCGGTGATCAAGCGTGAGTTTCTGCATCTCCGTGAACAAGTAGTTGTGGTTGAAGCGGCCCGGGTCAGCCTGGATAAACTCGTCCATCCCGTGCTTCCTCGCTCGGTCTGCGTCTGAGCGCGAGATCGAAACAGACAGGGCATAAGCTGGTCGCGCGTCGGCAACATCGCCATCTCGCTGCGCGCACCCAGCGACGGCTGGCACTACACACACAGTGACTAGGCACAGGCTGGTGCGATTGCCCCGTCACGAGGTACGTCCCACTCTCCTCCCCCCTCCCCCTCACCCTCCCCTGCTTCTCACCTCCCTGTATGCGTGCGATCTGAGAGTTAGCGTTGGGCTGCCCCTTCTGCACGGTGGTGGGTGGCACAGGCTTGTGTGACTGGCCCGTCGCGCGGTACATCGCCTGCACCCACAGGTGTCGATCGTTCTCCTCATCGCACGCGTACACGACGTTGTCCCCCTCCTTCACCGCGTTGAAGAAGTGCTTGCCTCCCTCCAGGTCTGCCGGGGGGAGAGATCAACATCACGATTACTACTGCTGTCGTTACGAGCGCTGAAGATCAGCTTTAAGATTAGTGTTGACAGGAGAGTATACGGGGAATGCTGACAGACTAGACAGAAGTGCTGCTAGATTTAGTGATGCTGCATGGTTGGTGTGCTCCGTGTTAGGGTGGCATTAGTGCGCGTCTACAGGGAGATCCGAAGCTACGAACATGAATATGAAGCTTAATGTGAATATGACGATTATATGACATGACCATTTATTACCACTGATATTATTTATGCATAAGCCACTGACAGTTTATATATACATAGACTTTTGCATAGAGGAAATTGTAATAAATTACATTTGTATGTATGTGTATATATAAATAAATAAATAAATAAATATTAATATATCATAAATAAATAAATAAAAAAATAAAAAATATATGTAATATGATTACATATATTTACACGTGACATATAGACAATTCTGCATTTCCTCTCTATACCTTAAGTTAAGGGGGGAATGTTCCCCCTTCTTTTCAACTTCCTGACCTTGGACCTTTGACCCCCAGATTCGAGATCCCAACCTGTTTTCGGATAGCCCCCCTATGCCCCGAATTTTGAAACCGTACGTCGAGCCGTTTAGATTTGTGCCCAATTGTTGACGGACGGACGGACGCTCATGCGATTCTACAAACTGCATCTGACTATGTTAGATGAGCTAATAATACTAAATTACGTGTGTATCTACATGTATTTAAATCAAAAAATCAAAAAATGAATGTATAAGTGTGTGCGTGCGTGCGTGCGGCGTGCATGCGTGTGTGTGTTGGTGTGTGTGTGTGTGTGTGTGTGTGTGTGTGTGTGTGCATGCATGCGTGCGTGCGTGCGTGCGTGCGTGGCGTGTGTGTAATATAAATATAAATAAATAAATAAATAAATATAATATATTATATTATAATATATAATATATATATACAGCATATATAGACATATATATATATGTGGCTGACACTATTGCTATATATAGAGTAGTGAGTAGAGGCAATGATAGCGACGTGGATGACGGTGATTATAATAATAAATACTATTATGAGCGATGACGCTGATCGACGAGCGTAGGGAGCCATATTCTCATTTCCGTGCTAGTCAAACATCTCCCGTAATCCTGAGAGCAATTAGGAGATGCCGCAGCCGCGCGCCGTGCTGGATGCTGCGTGTATGCAGGGGTTGGCAGGCAGATGCTGTGTGTGGGGGCAGGCTCGAGGAGGATTGAAGTTGGGTGAGAGGATGGGAGAAGAATGCGAGAATGAGATGATGGAAGGAGGAATAGGGGTGGATAGGAAGATGGTAAGACGGTTATAAGACCATATAAACAGGGGAAGAATCTGAGGGAGCATAAAAGAGGCAGGAAGGAAGAGGCAGTGTGTAAAGACGCATGTTCACACACACACACACACGTGCGCACACGCACGCACGCACGCACACGCAAACACACACATTTATCATAATCTAATTGCATTACGTGCTTTAATAGTAGGGTAGTATAGTGTATGCGGTTATGTTGCAATTAACAGAGGAGTGAACGTTTCATATAGAATCTTGAAACTGGTACTTATTGACTTCTTTAGATCACATAGAACTCAAAACCACCTGTTTCCAATTTTTTCCAGCATGTATACTCACTAAATCCAAGATGGCGGCCATTTAACACAATAATTGCTCTATCACCAACTATTTTGGATTTTGTAACGGATACAGTTGCCCAGTATATCGTTTTATAGGTTTTTTTGGTCACTGGATTCATTGAAGTACTTATATCATGAATAACACAAAGCATAAAGTGAATAATCATCCAATATGAGGTATATAAGGTCATTGTGTAGTGAACGGTTCATAGAATCTGGAAACTTGTGATTTTTTACTATATGTATATTTGTTTTTTAGGTAAATAATGGCATCTGAAGCGGGACCTCTGGATATTATATTAGATATCAGGGTTCTCCCAGTATGAAATTCAAACAGGGGGGAGGGAGAGGAAGGGGA